TTTCTGATACACTACAATCTTCAAATGAAGTAGGTGTGTGTGTAATATTGCTGTTTGCAGAACTGTGACATGCAAGGAAACCAGGCCTAGATTGATTTTACGCTCTGTGGATGACTTTGCAGCAGGCAGTGAACTGTTTTTAATGTTATAGAGACAGATGTTGTCTATGCAGTAGATGTATACTGTTGCTGGTAAAAAAAAGTAACTCTCGTTAGCCATATAGATTTTTGCAGTCCTTTCAAAATTCCATTTGTGTGACTTGAGATAATAAAGCACAACTTCAAACTTTGAAACCTTTATAGAAGATTTGCCACTCTCTGAAGTCTAGGAAGGAAGTTCAAACATTTTATTCTCTGTGTATGTGCAAGACAGTCTGCATTATATTTGAAAGCAGAATGACAATAATAACAATATTTAGGCACAAACACCAAAGTTCACAGTTGAATGGTACCTTTTTTAAGGATCAGCCAAAGTGAGCTTTTGAATTTTCCAGAACTCTTCGTCAGGCAAGATACTTCACAATGACTGTTGGTGTGACAAGGAAAAACAAAGACAAAAATTGGGCTGGATGTTCTGGCTCTGAGACCAGTTTGTAGACTCACTTCCTAGATGGAGGCTGCATGCTGAGTGAGCCCCTCCAAGGCCCTATATATAACAAGTTACACACTTAGGATTCTGTGATAAAGAAGCAAAGGATGCTTTCCTCATTGTTTCAGAAAATTTGGCTTGTAACCCAGATCAGTCATGAAAATGAAACAACCAGGTTCCTCGGCAGGCAGAGGGGAGAAGAGAAACATGGCAGTCTTTATCAGTGGTTAGTTTTGGAATATAAGAGAGTCAATTAAAGCCAAATAATGGAGTATTATCTAGTGGATGGCAGGAGCACAACCCTTAAATTGCAAAATCAATTTCCAGGTGTTAGAAGATTATCTCCCTCTATTTGTAGATTCCACCCACCCTGAACAGCTAGAGTCATAGTTCTTCAGGACACATAATGAGTAAAGGTAGCTCTGTTGATCCATAAGAAGAAAGAAAAATGCCAAAGTCCACAGATGTGTAATACCATTAATAGAACCTACCCAAAGTCACAGGAATGTGCAAAGCATCCAAGTTCTCCAGAACTCTTAAGCAGGCAAGTGCTTCAGAAACAGCTATTGCATTGATTTTAAGATTTTGGAATCAAAATTGACATTTCTGCCCCCCTCTTGTCTAATCAAACAGATGTGCTGAAAATAGTGTCCCACAGTTAGGAGTTAATGGGTAAATAGGGAAACTATTACTCCATCTGTAGGACTATTCCAAACAAACAGAACCCTAAAATTAAAACAGAATTTCAACTTTAGCTTGTTTTAATTTATCATGTGTCATTATGCTAAAATGCAAAAGAATGTAAACTGTTTTGCAGCTTACTCTGTTATCGTGTTATATAATTTTGCCAGTTATGAGGAAATTACAGAGCAGCAATATCATTTTATTCTCAACAATTCTACAAATATTTTATTTCTTTTTTAAAAATTGACTAAGATGAGGCTTAAGTGAACCATTTTTACTGGCATTGGGAGTCAAATAGGATCTACCATTATTTAGGTAGTTGAAGGAGTTCTCTCATTACTCTGCATCCAATAACAGGACCAGCATTGTGTGTAACTTGACATCCAGATAGAAGAAGGACAGGATCTTGTGCTATCATGTCATTTGGTAATAAATTTCATTTCTACTATTTACGATGCTCTCTCCTTCATTGGAAGTTTTTAAGCAGAGGTTTGATGTCTGTCTGTCATGGATGCCTTAGTTGAGATTCTTGTATTGCAGGGGGTTGGACTAGATGACTCTTGGGACCCATTCCAACTTTACAATTTGATGATTCTATGGAAAAAAATTATGCAAACTAATTTAAATGAATGAGTATGACTAAATTGGTTCCATTACTTTCACTAGGTCTACTCTGCATAACATTTAGCTGAATGCCGCTCTAGAAATAATCTTAGTTCCTGAAGCTGCTTCCCTATTTACCACTTTTTTTAAATCAAATATCAAAATGAAAAGCATACAGGGAAAGTGCTATACTTCTGCAGAAATGGCCGAGAACAACAGTGGACAAATAGAATCAACTCGTGCACTGCAGTATTCAAGTATCATATATGTATGAAGCTCACTGAATAATCTTGGGCCAGTCCCAGTCTTTCAGCCTAACCTGCCTTGCAGTGCTATTGGGTGGATAAAATGGAGACTGGGAGAACCATGTTGAAATGGAGATGGGGAGAACTTCTTGTTAACTCACAGCTTTATCTAAAGGTTGTTTCTCATTACATTGTTCATGAATTAATTGCAATTTTCATTTGATAAATTTACCACACCTCCCTGTGCTTACAACACACACATTCACTTAAAACGTACATTTGTGAGCAATGTGTAGAGTGTAAGGATTCAGTGTAAAGTGCTACCGTCCTGATCCTGTCATTTGGTGGATGCCTGGCAAGGGTCCAATTTTCATATGCAGTTCCATCACTTGTCAGAACTATCCTAGTCACATCAAGGGAGCCGTTTGCATTTCTTTGTATTCACCATGAATGGAACAATCCTAAGGCACAGGAATGCCATACATAGCACTACATCTAATTTCAGTAATATACAATTAATTTTAAAATAATATAAATTATTTTAAAATATTGATATATAAATTAGCACATAGTTGACCTCTTAGGGTGAAATATATTGTTATGCTTTGTTTTGTTTTTAAAAAGCAATACTTGCATGTTGTAATAATCATGAAACATTTTGGTATTCCTTTTTTTAAGTTGAAAAGAGTAATATGCAACTATTTTAATGAGCCACAGAAGTTTGAAATACATTCCTCTTTCCTAATCAACATTTCAGGTAGTTTCTGGTGTGCCTGATAATACATTCTTTTATATTGCGTAGTACCATAACAGAAAGGCACTTTCGAATATTCTTCTGCAAATAGGAAATTGTATCTATCTTGAGCAAGTAATACACAGGGGGGAGCTCTCTGGCCATATTAAAAACCATTTTCCATACAGTCTCCTTTGATTGACTACTAAAAATGGTCTTACTAGGAATTAAAGATACATGTCTATTACCTAGACTAGCTTTGTAATGGATGGTAAGCCTCTACTGGTATCCAGAGATAAGAAGCAGCTGTTTGCAGTGTTTGGGCTTGTGCCAGAAATGAGATCATGATTCTTAGAGCAGAGTTGAAATAGGTACCACATATTTTTGTTAACTCAAATTTATGCAAGGCTGGCATCACCCAGCAGAGCAAAAACTGCATGATGGGCAGCCTCAGCACAATCTGTTGATGGAACATTAAATCCAGTTATGCAGAACGTCACAGAATTGTTTGTTATTTCCAAGGCATTTAGTTCCAGTGAAGATGACTGCTTGCCTTCATTAAAAACAAAAAAACAAAAATGCTTGCTACATAAGATTATGTGATAGTAAGTTTTGACTAGATTAATTCACAAATAGGGGAGATAATGCCACTTCAAGAAATGCTATAATTACCTAGCATATATATTTATGTACATGATATATGGATGCACTAAAGATGACCACTTTTCTGCTCTTGAGGAACATGGCAACCTGTAGGTTAAATGACCTATTCAGTGTATGAAGAATAAAGTTTCTCAGCTAGTTCAAATACTCCAAGATACTGTGGCATCTAACATAAAACACTGCTATAGGAAAATACATACATAATGTATCTTACACCTGTATTGAGCCATTTTGTCTGCTAGTTGTTTCTTGTTTGCCAGTGTGTTTTTAAAATTTATAATGACAGTTCCACTACTCTGCCTGAATGATATGCTAAGTTGTGACATGACAACAGCACAAAGTCACAAATCTCCTGAGCCTTGCTGGATCAGGCCAGTGGCCAACCAGATGCCTATGGGAAACCCATAAGCAGCAGCACTTTTCCTTGTTGCGTTTCCCAGCAACTGGTGTTCAGAGGCATGGTATCTTTAGCAGTGGAACATTTTCTACTGGGGCAGTAATTAATAGGACTGTTACAGAAATTATCACTATGAAATAGAACCAAACAAACGTGAAGGACAATGTATTTTTGTATTTTTATTTTATTTTATTCCTGCTACAATAAATAATTGCATAGAGTTATGTACTCTAAATGAAATCTTAATTGGATTTGAGCCTGGTCATTATTTCAATCTGCAACATGGAAGTACAGCAAGATGTTAAAACAAAAAAATAAAATGGATGAAAATACCCCCAAGTTCCACATGTTCTAAGTGGAGGGATTTTTGTGTGTGTGTTTGGCTTTAAAAAGAAATCACTTGAAATTTACTCATAGTATTCAGCTGTATTTTGTTTAAAAGGTAATTACAGGTGAATTTCATTAGACTTTGAATGTGATGTGGTGCTTAAAGTGCTGGAATTTGTAGGGACCACAATACTATTTCACAGCCTCTGTGCACATTTGGATTTTTATGTGCTCACACCAGCATCTTCATTATATCTTATTAATAAACTCTGTATAATATATGCATTTGACAATGGAAGCAAAAAAGGAACATGAACTGGTAAGTCTTTCAATTCTCACAAGAAAACCAAGGTATTACTTTGTTTGATGACAGTTAATCAACTAAGAGGAAAATGTAGAAGACAAGGCAGCAGGAAGCAAGGGCCGCCGAAGCCCTAAAATTTCTGTCCCAAAAGACAGGCAGCATGCTTCTTCAGTTTCTTATCGTTTCTTTAAGTTTAGTAGTTGAAGAGGTTTTTGCATTTATCTTTGCAGCTGAATGAGTTCAATTTCACTCAGATTAGAGTAGAAATTTCTGAACAGCAGGTTAATCCTTCCTGCCTTCATGGGCAACTGAGCAAACAGACCCATATCAGTGTGGCCAAGTGTAAAATTGTAATTCCAGAGATTAATGTTGTCTTTCCTGTTTGCATTGAACTTGACCTCCATGTCTCTTTTATTTGATTTTATGTTTCGTTTTTGTTTTGTTTTTTGTTAACAGCTTCTGTCCAGGGCCCCTGGGAGAGGGCAATATCGCCAAACAAAGTGCCCTACTACATCAAGTAAGTATCAAACTATTATGATTAAATGCTTGGGGCGGTCAACTAATTATCTTAGCTTGCCTTGAAACAACTGTGAGAATTCTACTCTTTTTGGAGCCTACTGGTTCATACTGGATGTTTCAAGTAGAGCCTCCACTTCCATCGATAGCATAGACATAGAAAAAGATTTACATATAACATAAAGAATTCTGAGGATTCCTTGGGGTTAAAAGACAGTATAATCACCAATATACATTTGAAATGCAATAAAAAAAAGTTCAGAATTCAAGAAGAATGATAATGTGTATTGGTCCTTTCTTTGACTGTATATGTCTGTTCAGCTACCATTGCTTTAAACATCTTGCACCTTATTTTGCTGCTTGATAATAAGAAAGAAAATCAGTATTAAAAGATACTGCTCCTGAAATCTACCCTAGACTGAATTTTGCAAGGGGGGGAGGTTGGAGTGGAATCAAAATACCCTCGCCCCCAAAGAGGCAGATTCCAGCCCTTTCAAAAATTATTTACACGTTGGCATAGCTAACTGGTAGTACTTTCAGTTAGAGGTCAGAGCATGCAAAGCAGCCTCTTTTTCTGTCCAAATTAAACATTTCAAGTGATAGTTGAATAGACCATAAGAGTGTTGGCTTCAGTGTGATATGCATTATGTAGCGCTCTCACTGGTTGGACAACTCATCCATGAAAAGAGTACCAGAGAAGTTGTTTGGAACAAATGGCACATTCCTGTGACACACATTTAATTTTTATAGTCTATTCAACTATCACTTTTACAAGCTTTTTGATTTCTGTATAAAAATCACTTCTCTGCAGTTTATACTTTGTTGCCAACATGAGAGCTTAATAATGCAGTCACCCTACTTTTTATAATTTATCTCATCTTATTATTAGAATTCAATATATTGCCATGTTAAATGTGTACAATTAAGTATTTTTTAATTTGTAGATTTTTCAGTGAAAATCATTTTTATCATGTGCAGCAGCATTTTACATTAATCTTTTGTTGTGCCCACACATCTTGCATAACTCTATTGTTTGAAAGTACGGGAAATTTACATCTTAAGCTGTTGTCCAGCCTTTACATTGCTCCTGCTCTATGTCTGATTTCATAATAGAAATTATTTCTTTGCTATTGGTCTTTAAATTATCAAAGGAGTTACCGTACATTTCTTGCCTGTTCAGAAAGCAAACATTATATCTGAACGTTTTCTGAATTTGGACATGATTTTCTGCTCCAAAGCAACATAAATTGTTGATACTGAACATAAGAGCATATGTTGAGAGATGTCTTTCTTGCATATTTGATTGTTCATGTGTGCTTTTCTCATTTTCTTCTTGATGCTTGGAATTTTCGTGTTTTTTTTTACCCAACTCATCAGTTCTACATTTTCAGTGACAGATCACTTTATGAGTTCATAAATCAGAAAATAGTTGCTTCAAAAGCATAAACAACATCCTCTTTGGTGTCTCAATGCTAGGCAACATCAAGCCACTTGGTTTTGACAGTTACAGCATCATATTTATCTAGTTGATGAATTAACAGCATCCAACAGTCATTAAAGTTTCTGCATTGTGGTTAAACTATTGCAATTTGCAGGAGGCAGAAAATAGAGACACAACACTAGCTGGGATTAAAGAGGCCACAACTTTATTAAAGGAATGTGGCGTGTCTATTAAGTCCAGCCAAGGGATTGATTATAACTCTTTCTGTTGCAAGCCCTGCTCCTAGGCAGTCAAGCAAGCTAACCACCTGGCACAACCTTACTCTCCATCCACTCCCTTGTGGGGAGAAATACCACACCATTTGTGAAGCATTATCTGCTTAGGATGGTGTTTAGGAGTTCTTACTAGAATCTCCAAAAAAATATCTTAAACAGAGAGTGCTTCAGTTATCATGTTCCTATGTTGTCTGCATTGGTATCTTAGGGACTATTATTGCTGCCAGCTTCAATAAGGTGAGGCAGAAAACAAATAGAGATGTAGGCTTAACCATTCACTTTCATCATTTCCCAACCTTGTTAGTAAGCATATGACGTTTCCTGTTTGGATCTGAAATGTATTACTTCTTTTCTTACCATAGTGTGAATTCATATTTCTGCCATCTCTGTGGTTAACAAACAAGTTAGGTATGGACCAATCAGTCTATTTGTCAGTTTATTTGTTTGATCCGTGTCACTGGCACATGTGTTAAACCATCAATCTGTTCTTCCCTGTTTATGCTTTAAGCTGTGAATTAAAAAAATAAATCCACTCAGAAATTATAATTGCATTAGATATCTAAGTAAATATCTTCTAAACATATATCTTTAAATATAACAGGTTTAAATGCATTTCAATACCTATCTAAGCCAATAACTGAATTGTAACATTCAGAGAATAACAACAAAGTTCCCATCTGCTTATTAGTCCAGGAGGTGCAGATCAAGTCTGAAGTCCAACCTAAGGTTTCCCAAAGTACAAAAAGTACTTAGGAAAAATGCTCTAAAGGGGCATTTAAATTCAGTGGCACACAATATTGATAGATTTAGTGGGAAATAACCAACAACCAGGTTTGGGGGGGGATAGAATCAGGTAACTGGCAAGGGAAGTAGAAAGACATAGAGACATAGAGCTAAATAAGGTATAAGGAGAACCATCTTATTGTCTGGACAGATCGTTTCCAGGAGAGGAGGAATGGGACTATAGCAGGCATAGGAAAACTCCGGCCCTCCAGATGTTTGGGACTACAATTCCCATCATCCCTAGCTAACAGGACCAGTGGTCAGGGATGATGGGAATTATAGTCCCAAACATCTGGAGGGCCATAGTTTGCCTATGCCTGGATTATAGGATCCCTCCATAATTTCTTCTGAGAAGCCAGGTTCAACAGGCCTCTTCCTTAACTGTCCTCTATCAGCAGCTGTTCTGTAATGCTAGGGAAGTGAGAGAGATGGGGATACATCATTTCATGTTAGGAAACAACCATCTTTTAGTAGCCATTCCATCAGGTTTTTGTGCAGGGAGAGACATGACTGCAGGGCCCCTCCATTGGCTATGACATTTCCCCCCGTTCCTACTTTTCTAAGCCTACCCCATCCCTCAATATATTGCAATAATATGCTCAGATTCAGAAGTGGAAGCCAGCCCCAAACCTAAACCCTTTGTTGTTATATAGCTTAGCAGGCAAATGTATAGGTTGAAAAGAAGAAAGACATCCTTATTTTCTTCACTCTTCCATAAAATGCACCACATGGCAAAAAGCCTGAAAAGAACATCAAGGGTCGTACCCCAGGCTGATAGGATCTCTGAACAAGAGCACTTTTACTGAGTGCTGTTATATCACTTGCTGCCTCCGAAAAATAAAAATGCCAACATCATACAACCTGTTAAAATGGTTTCTTCCGCTCTTGCCATGTGGTAGTATATTGCCTACAAAATTCTTATGACAATTGCAGGATTATCATCTTTTTCAGCTGTTGCAATCTGCAAGGACTGTGTTCAAATTTTATGAAGCTATTCCCATATGGATTGGCCAAATAAATCAAGCAGATTCCCACTGCTTCTTTTCCTAATGATTTTTTTTAAAAAAATGCTTGCTTTACATTATAAAAGTTGCATTTGATTACAATGTCTGCTTGGACACCCAGGAAATGCCTGCCTGGTAAATAAGGTAAATAATGAACTACAGGACATAGTATCAAGAGAAACTAAACAATATATCATAGGTGTTTAGCTATACGTACTGTACAGAAAAAAATGCCAACTATTATTTTTTTCTATCAGATCTTCCTTTGCTTTGCTTTCCTTGCAGCTCCCCAATCTAGTCTTTTTGTCACCTTCAACAGCTTATACTTCCTAGATCACATATTATCTTTAGTGCATAATTTACAAATAATCCCATTTCCCCCTAAGGCTAATACATTACATAGGCTTGCATCAGTTCAAAGTCCTGTGGAAAGAAGCATATAAGCAGAGTAGGCTTCTGACACTCTTTTATTTTAGATAGCCTTAATTTGTGCATCTGTACATAGAATAGTTGATAGTGTACCTGAACCAGTGGAGAGTACAGTTCCTTCACCACTAAATAATTATAGAGGCTTCACACTTCAGGGATTAAGAGTAAGCGTTTCCAGATGTGAGTGCCATGCTTCTGGATAGGGCTGTGGCCTGACAACTTATTTTCTGTACATTTACTGTTTAGTACCACATGTGCACATGCCTGCAACTATTCAAGCATCCCTAAAAGCAGAAGGCATTTTCAGTTTTTTAAAATATACATATTCAGAGCCATGTATTATAACCAAGACCTAGATTTGTGAAAATCCTGTTACCCCTCTTCCACAGAAGGCATCAATCAGACCAACTCCTCGGCTCACCCTTCTCTGCAGCACTTTCTTCTTCCTGTTCAGGCTCCCAGAGAGTGGAGAAATCAGAGGCAGCTCCAGCCGTACTCTGGATTTCTTTGGCCACCCCTTCCATCTCTGTGCCTTGCAGCTGGGCTCCTGGGTCACTTCCAATTTCCTGTAGCCTATCAGTGGTATGGCCCTCATCTCTCATGGCGTCACGCTCTCCTCTCCATGGAGGCATCTCAGCCACTCTGCTCCATTTGATTCAACTGCTGGCACTGGCACCCACTTTTTTGCTGCTTCCCTCTCTTAAGCTGCTCAAGGAGTGTTGCTGTTCTTCTCACCATTTCAACACCTGGCTCACAGCCCCTCCTCCAGGAAACACAAATCCCACTGTTGACACCAGCGTTGCACGCCACCCCAATCTCTGATTGGTGCAACATTCCAGGGGTTCCAGGTGCTTAATCAAGGTCCATGTTTCCTTTTGGAAATGAGGCACAATGGAAACTGTGGTGTTTTTAGGATATGTGGTTTATGTACACATAGCTCAGTTGGTTATAGTATGGCACTGAAAACACCAAGGTTGCCGGTTTGATCCTCGTAAGAGACACCTGCATATTCCTGCATTGCAGGGGGTTGGATTAGATGATCCTCAGCATGTCTTCCAATTCTATGGTT